ACTGGAACATCACATCAACAGAGAACTACCAGGAGTGCAGGTTGGATTAAGAAGAGCTCATGGTACTAGGGATATTGTAGCTAATGTTAGCTGGATCTTGGCTGAAAGCAGGGAGTACCAGAGGAATGTCTATCTATATTTCATTGATTAAGCAAAGACGTTTGACTGTATGAATCACAACAAACTGTGTCTAACTCTGAGAAGAATGGGAAGCCCAGAACACTTGACCATGCTAATGTGAAACCTATACTGGGACCAGGAGGCAGTCATCAGAACAGAGCAAGGAAACACTGCATGGTTCAAAATTGAGAATGGTGTATGCCAGGGATGCACCCTGTTTCCATACCTTTTCAATCTTTATACAGACAGATTATCCTGGAGGCTGGGCTCTATGAGGAGAAATGTGGCACCAGGATTGTGGCATCAACAATCCGTATTATGCAGATGACACAACCCTGCTTGCTGAAGCTGAGGAGGACCTGAAATGCTTGTTGTGGAAGGTCAGAGACTGTAATCTTCAGTATGGGTTGAGGTTCAATATAAAAAAAATAAATAAATAGAAAAAAAAATCACCACTGGGCCAATTGATAGCATCATGATGGATGGTGAAGAGATTGAGATTGTTCACAGTTTTAGTTTGGTTGGCTCAACAATCAACACTCTTGGCATCAGCAGCCAAGAAATTGAAAGATCTATTGCAATGGGACAGCACTTAACAACACAGAGAAAGACTAGTTGGCCTAGTGAACCGAAAGCGATTCTACCAAGCCAAAGGTGGGCGACTCTAATCCGTGGCCCTAAGGTCTATTTTTCATTGTTTTTGTTCAAACAGTCTTCTAGGTTGTATAGCCCTGGTGCGTCCACTTGCCATACAGAGATAACTTGTGGTCTCTGTGAAGATGAACACTGTGACACTGATGTGTCAAATGTGATAATGGTTACCCATGGTGGACCATGTTTGATGGCACTCATCAGTTGAAACAAGCTTGGAAGCAGGAGTGGCATCCATTTCCTCCGGAAACTCTATGAATCTGGAGAAAGGATGAAAGTCACGCATGCAAGTATTGAGGACTTTCATTCATAGGGTCTCTACGAGTCGCCTAAGATTTGACAGCACTTAACAATAAAAGCAACATTGCAATGGGAAAGTCTGTGGTTAGAGACCTCTCTAAAGCAATGAAGAGCAATGATGTCAGTCTGGAGACTAAGATGTCCCTGATATATACACTGTAACCACTTGCTATTCATTAGGGATCTGGAAAATGACTAGGAATGATAGAAGGAGAATAGTTGCCTTTGAGCTGTTGGTGTTGGAGAAGAGAACTGAATATACCATGTACTGCTAAAAGAACGAACAGGTTTGTCCTGGAGAGAGTGAAGCCAGACTGCTCCTTGGAGTCAAGGATTCTGAAGCTTTGTCTGGCATACTTTGGACACGTTGCAAGAAGGGACCAGTCCTTGCAGAGAAACGGCATGCTTGGGAGGGTGGAGAGACAGCACAGGAGAGGAAGACCGTTGATGAGATGGATTGATTCAGTGACTGGGTTAATGTGGGTAGATGTGTTGGAGACAATGAGATTGGCACAGGATAGGGAAGGGTTTAGGGTCGCTGAGTTGCAGGCTACTCGACATCACATAACAAAAGCAACAGCAGCTAGTACTTAACAACAATAGGAACAACAACAATCTACCACCTGTGAAGATGGCACAAAAAGGGCAAGGTTCAAATCTGTTGTTTATGGGGTCACTATTTCTTAAGCTGAAGGAAGTGAAGAACAAGTTCAAACCTTGAGTTGCTATAATCAAGGATG